AGCAAATGTAGAGCTGTATGTAATTTTTGGGATATCTGGATGTTTTTGTTAAACTTCAGGAGTAGTTTGTGTGAGTAGCCCTATCGTTTAATTTCATTTGTGTTCCATAAAAAAATGCAGCCAACGCAAATGCGTTAAAGCTGAGCTGTGAACTCCTCCGGCTTTTTGTGTCAGGTACTAAGGAACAACTCGCACGTCTTCCAGTTTCTTTTTCTAAATAGTGAAAGGCCTTTTCTTGCCTTTAACACTGTTATTCTCTGCAGTATCACGTATGGTCACTACAGTTGTTTAGTAAGTTATTTTTCTGTTTACTGTGTTGTAGAAGCTATTCAACGTGCTGCTACCATTGCTGAAGCTGAGGGCTCTCTTAAAATAGAAGCAACTCATCTTGAGAGGATTCTTCCTCAGTTGCTTCTAGATTTTTGAGGTACTTTCAGCCTATTATCATTAGATTCTAGCAGTCTCATAATAATAACTATTCACAGAGAACTCTTCTGATATTCTTTTGGCCGTAAATGCATAGCCTATTATCATTAGGTTATAGCATTCTCATTAGATTAACTATTCGCAGAGAACACTTCTGATATTCATTCTGACTTCATTTTCGGCCGCAAATGCATAATCCCTCTCTCTGTGTGTGTCTGTGTGTGTGTGGTGTGTGTGTGCCTCTCTCTCTTCTAGTATTTCCCCTTTTCATACTTGAGAGTGTAGATATTCTGCTTGATTTTTATGCTCTCTCGCCCTCTCTCTCTCTTCTCACTAAACTATGTTTCACCAAATTGAGTGACTAGTTTTTCTTGTTAAGATATAACTACAACTTGTTCTTCCTCTTCTAATCTGAATTTTATGCATTTCAACATAGGGATGATCAGTTGAAAAGCTTGTAGCATCTGATCTGCAATTGTCCTATTTCTTTATGGCCTGAGTGAATCACCATCGTATAGTATTGTTCCAGGCATAAAATATGCAAATTGATGCTGGAACTGGATGAAGATGACAGCATATAGGTGATGAGAGAGCTTGCAAAAGTGTGGTGATTGACGCACATTGGGAGATTCCTAACGACTTGTCACGCCTATGTGAAAAAATGAAATAAATTTGTTATGACTGGCTAGATATCCTAGTTGAAAGACCTAATGCTTTTACTTCAGGAGGTGGTATTAACAATTTGACATTTTACTTTGGGCAACCATTCTGTTTTGGAGCAGATCCTTTTTTTCGTCTGCCTTAGTACTGATAAATTACATGAATATTATGCCATCTGACTGGAATTTGATTCAAATTACATGGTGGGAACACACACAAATAGCAACATTTAGATTACAAGACTTAGTTACTCACACTTGACATAACCAATACCTCAACATTTAGTATTTGGACAACCCTACAAATCCTACCACATAAAAAAGTATCCAAATTATTTCCATGATTCTCTCATAAACTAGTGCGTAATCTGAGCCAGCATGCACCTAGCATCCTTACTGTTGGGCCTCTCTTTAGGATTCTCCAGCGTGCAGAAACACGCAACCTTGAGCACGAGAAGCATCTGCTCCTCATACCCATTCCCGAGCAGCTTGGGATCAATCGCCTGTTTGGGCTCCTCAGAAGCCATCACTTTCCTCATCCATTTCACCATACTCATCTCATCGGTGTGCAGGAAGAACTCGTCTGACGGCAGTTTCCCCACGACCAGGGCCCCCAACACTACCCCAAAGCTGTACACGTCACACTTGTCCGTGAACTTGAACGTCTGGTAATACTCGGGCGCTATGTACCCCACCGTACCCGCCACGTTGGACGAGGTGACATGCGTGTGGGCATCCGGGACTGCCTTGGCCAGCCCGAAATCGGCAATGCGGGCCTCCATCTCGTCGTCCAGGAGCACATTCCCGGGCTTCAAGTCGCGGTGGATGATCCGTGGGCTCTGGTTCATGTGAAGGTACTCGAGCCCTGCGGCCACACCAAGCGCAATTTTGTAACGGGCGGGCCAGTCGAGCGTCCGCCTTCCCTCAGCCACCTGCTGGAGGCAGTCCTGTAAACTGCCATTCTTCATGTACTCGTACACCAGGAAATGGGAGTCGGCCCGAGGAAGGTGGGCCAGGAGGGAGAGGAGGTTTTTGTGTCTGATCCGCCCCATCGTCTGTATCTCCGACTTTATCTGCCGCATTTTCTTGGTGAGAAGCTTGCTTTCTTCTGAGAGCTCACCGGCATCCCTAATCGGCTGGATTATTTTCTTGATGGCGATTTCTTTCCCGTTGCTGCCCGGGAGAAGGGCTTTGTAGACCTCCCCACACCCGCCTCGGCCAATGACGGGAAGGGACGATAACCCGTCGTTATTTTCGAGGAAGGCCAGGTCCTCGGGCCCTTTGATCAAAGGGCTGAAGATATTTAGTTTCATGTCCCTCTTACGCCTTCTGATAAACATGAGAAGGAGCTTGAAAAGCAGGCCGAACACCAGCCCGGAAATACCTCCGGCCAGGACTCCCGTCAGGAAACCGAGAATCGCCTGAACTATTTTCTTTTTATTCCTCTTGTGCCCCCTTTTGGGTGTTGGTGTACTGTTGGCTGAGTGGCTTGGAGCAGGGGCCACGGCCGAGGAGGACTGGTTTCTTCTTCGGGGGCTCTCGGCAAACACGTAGCGTGCGGGGAGCGGCTCGTTTTTGAGTATGCTGTTCGAGAGATTATCACTCTCGAGCAAAACGTTTCCCGACACATTTATGAATCTCAAGTTACGGAAGAATCTCAGGGAAGACGGTATTTTCCCGGAGAAGGAGTTGTCGGCAAGGTTGAGCCTTTCCATGTTGGGAAAATGCTTAAGAAATTCCAGGTTCCCATTGAACTTGTTTGAGGACAGGTCAAGGACTCGGAGGCGGATTAAGGACGATAGTCCGGGCGGGATTTTCCCGGAGAAAAGATTTTTTCCGAGGTTTAGTGTCTCGAGCTTTTGGCAGTCGATGATTTGAGGGGGAATTTGGTTAGAGATTTGGTTGTTGTGCAGGGAAAGCTCTTTGAGCTCCGAGAGGTTGCCAATGGCGGGAGATAGTCTCCCTTTGAGGCGTTGGGAGTCGAGAAGCAGACGTGTTACTCTGAGATTGTATGTCTTGTTTGTGGTGAGCTGTCGTTTGCAGAATATTCCGGCAGTAGTGCACAAGTTCTGGCTAGCTGGAAAGTGGCGGATGCCGAAATCTGCGTGTATCTGCACAAGGGCATTATGGTCGGACGGGAGGAGATCGAGCCTCGAGCTCGAGCAAACTAGGAAAGCGAGTGTGGAGAGAAAGAGGAGGGAGAAGAGAGTGTTGGGGTTGGGATGAGATATTATTGGAGCCATATTTAGGTTCTTGAGTTGCAGGTAGTTGGAGGGGTGGTGGTTGTTTTTAAGGTTAGTAGCTATATAAAAAACCAGAGTCGTTGACTGTTGTGTTGTGTTGACTTGGAAGTGGCGTGNCGAAGGCCGGAAGGCCCAAAGTTATTGGTCAATGCCGTGTGGAAAAATTTGTTCATGGGACCAAATTTTGAAGATCTTGCCATTCGTTGACTGACTTCTAATAAGTGGACAATAATGCCTTATCCGATTTTCATTTTCTAACTAAACTTCTTATTACTTGTTTATTATAATTTATATATCATTTTTCGTGTTAGTGGTTGCCTTTTCTGTTGTACAATTTTTTTTATTTTTTTTATTTTTTTGTGGGGTGGTATAACCGTTAAATGGATTGATCCGTCACATTATTTTAACAAAATGCATATTTGTGCTATGGAATAGTATACTTTTGTTTATAGTTTCTTATAGTATGATATTTGAGTTTAAAAGTATGTATATCTTTTGAAAAAATATGATTGTTCAGTCGTTAAGTCTGGCATGAAAGAACGAAAGTTTAGGTTACCGAACCATCTTCTTCTTTGACAAGTCAGTAATATACAAAATATTATGTTAAAGTATATTTTAACAGACGTTTGAAAGAAATAAAGTAAGAGAAGTTATTGCAAAAAATATGGTAATCACTTGTATACTTTATATTGGCTGATATAGCCATATTATCATTTACCGGCCCAAGAACTCTCTACTCGGCCGGATAACTACTCAGACCGTCCACATGTCAACGTACTCCCGTTGAAATACCTAAGTTGACTTCCACAAAGTCGACTCCTTGACAAAACGACTATGAGAGAAGGCAGAATCCATGCAAGTCGACTCCTCGAGGTCGACTTCCTGCAATCGACCCCAGAAGTCGACTCCCACTTAAGAACAACAAAGCGTAACCTCTGAATACTCATATGATCATGAGTCGACCTCTCAGTGCTCGAGGTCGACTTCTTATGCCTCGAGGTCGAAAACGTGATGACGACTCATCACACTTGCAGCATACTTGAGGCCCTGCATTCTTCAATTGATAAGAAGGAATATTGTGATGACTCAGCAGTAAGGGGAGACGAACCGACCGGGGTATTTTGGACATTTCACGTAAGTCGACCAGGGCATTTTCGGTACTTCAAGTGAGTGTTTTCTCCTATATAAATGGGGCTGAGGTAACCCTAAACCCTAACTTTCATTCAGTCACACTCTCCTCTATAGCTGCTGCTGCTCTCTCAGAGTAGCCTCTCTTCATCTCTTTCACATACTGACTTGAGCGTCGGAGACTCTATGCCGGAAACACTTCCGGCGTTGAGTTCTTGCAGGTGTTTACGACAGTCTACCAACGGTTCGAGGCGATTCAAGTAGATCTAAGCTCAAAACCATCAGTTCTTTTCAGATCCAGAAGTAGACCCATCACTGGCCTTGGACATTTTTCGTGCAATTATTCAAAGAATGTTCTGTATCTTATTATATACTAATGTTGATGCACGGGCAAGTAATCTTAAGGGAATTATTTTTATTTGGATTAGTAATATTAAGGAAGCATTTTTATTTGGATGATGAGATCATTGTTCAAAACATAAAACGCATTTATTGAAATAAAAAAAAAACGTTACATATATATTATTAAACACTTTTTGTACACAACATTCTTTGTGTGAGTTTTTGGTACATTATCTTGTCCGAAAATTAAAATCTTCAAATCTTACGATTCGTAACGCATGAAACAACTACACACGGCTGACCGTGACTGAACACCGATTTCTTCAAGAACATGCGCCAACATGCGATATCCTTCTTCTGTATCGTTTGTCCTTTTTTCTTTTTGCATTTAATAAATAATATGTGTTGTATGAATTTTTAAAAAGTTCATACATACTACGTGAATTAACATTGAAAAATTATTGAGATATATTAGCAACTGATTTTTGTAATAACTTGACTTAGGAAAATATTTGTTTTTTCTGTTTATTTTTTTTTTATTTGCGAAGAATTGCTAGTCACTCAAGTCTTCAAAGCTAGTATGCTGTTCCCTTTGTAACTTGACTTGGAAAACAAAATATAACATAATTATAGGGTATAAAATGTCTGTAGGCACAAGAATTATGACATCCACATATATTAAATTCTGTTATTAACATAATGATGGTCTGAACCAAATTACACGTTCATCCTTGTGATTAATATACTTTCCAAACTTCGTAACTGTGGGGAGATTGAAACTTCTTACGATGCTACAACTATTGAAAAATCTGCCCTCCTAAAGTTGGATCAAGCTATTCTCCTCTCTGACCTAGTTGGTTACGAGAATCCTTGCCTAAATAAAGTCATCTAGAAAGCCCAATAAGTTAGGGTTGGGCCTCATGGAGTTGGAGAATTAGCTGGGACTTTTTTTGAGGGGATTATTAAGTTGATTTATGGATAGATAATAATTTCTTCTCTTTTCTTATTGTCGAAATAGTTGAACCCAGTCCATTTTTAATTAGTGGCTTGAGAACAGGAAAACCGAAATAACCAAACCGAGAACCTACGATTCGGTTCCTATTCGGTTGACCAGCTCAAGACATGCCGGGAAAAAAAAAGAGCACCAAAGGTTGAATTTGACAACCAAAAGTTAACTTGAGACTAATACCCGTTTCTTTCAGTGACGAATCCAGCCATGTTTAATGGGGTCACAGGCCCCCAATTAAATTTTGCCATGTTTTGTAAATTTATTTAGGCTGAAACTTCAGCCGAAAAGAGCCGGCATTGGTGGCGGAGACTTCGGCCATTGGTGCCCCCATTATGGGGGAATCCTGGATCCGCCATTGGTTTCTTTAGTTATGAAAATGCTGCCTCTTCATTTTATTCTATAATTTTTTTCATTAGTTAATTAATTCTTGAAGATTTATTTAGTAATAATAAGTGGAGTTGCAATTGCCAACAATGGTTTGGCCCTCCGAACCGTACCTCCAAACCGCTCGCTGGTGTCCATATCTTCCCCACCGCCCAACTCCCAATCAAACTTGTGGACAATGTTGGCCATCACCAACTCGATAGCAGCCATTGAGAAGGTAATCCCGGGACAACCCCTCCTCCCGGCCCCAAACGGTATCAGCTCGAAATCCAGCCCCCTCAAGTCAATATTCGACCCCAAAAACCTCTCCGGCTCAAACTTCTCGGGCTTGACCCAACATGTCGGGTCCATGCCTATGGCCCACACGTTGGTCATCACGATTGTTCCTGCTTTGACTTTGTACCCTTTGACCTTCACATCTACCCGTGCAACTCTAGGGACTAGCAACGGCTTTGGCGGGTGGTAGCGAAGGCTTTCCTTGATCACCGCTTTTAAGTAATGCATTTCCCTCAAGTCCTCGTCCGTTATTATGTCGTGTTTGTCTTTTATGGTTTGTCGCACTTGGGTCGCCAATCTTTCCATGACCTTAGGGTGTCCAAGTAGCTCGACCATTATCCATTCAAGGACTGCCGAAATGGTATCTGTCCCAGCCGAAAACACATCCTGTCGAACGACAAAAAATATATACCAAACACATCCCGACTAAAATTAAGGAAATCCAACTATATATGTTTTGGTAAAGCTAGCTAATAGCTTATTATAAGTGAATTTTGAGCTTATATAGATGATAACTTATGACTGGTGGCTAAAAAACTAGCTGATAGTAATAAAAGTGTTTGGTAATTTAATTAGCCAGATACTTTTTACTTATTTGAATACAAAAAACTTACCAGAATCAATGCCTTGATGGCATCTCTATCAATCGAACCACTGCAACCAGTGTTTTCTTTCAAGTAATGAATCAAAATATCGACAAAGCTTTCTCCATTTTCGTCCGAAGGATCGCGACCATTGTCCCCCTTCAAGTGTTCCTCGATAACGTCCTCCAAGAAACCATCAAGCCTCTTGAAGACTCGGTCCACTCTCTTGTCGAAACCATTTAGGCGCGTCACCCAAGAAAGCCACGGGACGAAATCTCCTATGCTGATAGTCCCCAACACGTCCATAAATTCAGTCATCAGCGCCGAAAAAACTCGGCCGTTTTCCGACCAGCCCTGTTTCCCGCCAAAAGTAGATTTGTAAATCCCGTTGTACGCAAACTCGGAGAACATCTCGGTTAGGTTGACCGGGTGGCTCGGAGGTTGACTCTGTATCCTTTTGATGAACAGAGCTGTTTCTTGTTCCCTGATTGCACGCAAGGATCGAACCCTTTTGTTGCTCAGCAATTGGTGAACAAAGATGCTCTTCATCTGAGGATCAAAGAATATTAATTTGTGTAAACAGAATATAGTGTACAAGTGTGTAAGTTCTAGAACTTTAAATGTAGCTGACAATTAATGGAAGAAGACTTTTTGGATGCAAGTTTGTATTTGACTATAACAATCAACACTAATCAATCATGTTCAGTTGACAAATTAATTTGGTCAGCCACCATAAATACGAAATTACGAAAAAGTTAGATTCAACTTTTGTGGCTACATGACAGTTAATATCATGATTACCTAATTAATTTTTAAGTACACTAGAAAAAATATTAATCATATTCCTTGAACTTGTGCAAACATCATTAATCGAGCAAATTAAATTAGATGCATAAAACTAATTTGCTCAAAGCCTATGTAGTGGAAAAAATATGGCATATGTAGACTGACGCCCAAGTTAGCATATGATTGATCATTGTCAAAGCCATCTACAATTTTTAAATTGACTCCTTAATATACAGGTTTGTATTTGTTTATAAACTAACTATATATTTTTTGGGGTAGTGAAACTAATCGCCGGTTCTCAAACATATATAATAAAAGACTTCAAATAGTTGAATTCAAATTTTGCAAATGTTTGTACATATATATTATTGGAAAATACTTGGTTTTTTTTATTATTTCAACCAATTAGATTACAGCATGTGTGTAGTTAATATACAACCTCCATGTATCTAAAGGTCAGTAATAATTTGTGAGTATTCAACCATCTAAAATAAAGGAACAGAATCATACCATTACGGGACCGTAGCCATCCCCTATATTATTGCATGATCTTCAAATAAATTTGTCAAGTACACAATAATTAAACAATTTTATGATAATTGATCATTAATTTAGTTATATATCGTGTAGTAGTAAAATCATTACATCCATTTTTTTATTCAATTAAATAATTTCATACAATCATAAATACAACACATCGGCTTGATAAGGTTGTAGATGCATAGCAACTGCAAGACTGACACTTATTAAGCTAGATATTAACTAGTATAAAGCTTAATTTCGCCGTATAAGTATATATATAACTTCATTAGCTAGCTAGGATATTTTCTATATGATATATAAATGGTATTTGTGCGTGTCGATTGCACGGGCCATAGAAGTGGAACTCTGTATATATATATATATATATAGGTCATGTTTCGATTCTTTGTACCTTTCGCCAGTATTCTCCGTAAGGGGAGAAGGATACATCTTTCGCGTTATAGAGAAGTTTGGTGAAAGCCTTGTACTCGGGCCGGTCTGCAAATGCCACGTCATGAGTTTTCATAATCTCACGGGCCACATCAGCCGACGAGACCACTAGAGCAGGGACGCGGCCACACTGGAGAAGCATAATTGGGCCGTATTTTTGGGCCAACAAATGCAGATTTCGATGGGGCAGTGAACCCAGCTGGTGAAGGTTCCCGAGCACCGGCAGCTTTGGTGGGGACGGAGGCAAAATTATATTATTGTCTGCAGCAGGTCTATTGAACCATCTTGCAATGAACCATAGTAAGAAAAGTAGTGATGAAATCATGATGAGAGCTGGAAATGTCAAGAGTTGGAGTTGGAACTCATGCATTATTGTGGTGTTGTATTGTTGTAAATGGTTGGATTTCATAGTTATGTGGGCAATAAAATTTCATTGGTTAAATAGCCCTGGCTTTGCAAATAAGATCTGACTTTATGTTGCAATTATTTTTATTTATTTAGCGTGCGAATTTTGTCGTTGAATATGTTGAAAATGTATACCTCAATTTAGTGTTGTAAAGTAAACGAACCGAACCAAACCGAGCTTGGGTTGTTCGAGCTCGTGTTCGATTACGTTCGAACAGTGTTCATGTTCGTTCGTTTATTTTTCGAGGTAAAAATCGTGTTCGAGCTCGTTCGTTTAATTGTTCGTCAAAGTTCGAGTTCGTTCGTATTCAAATAATTTAATATATAAATTTTTTAAATGACAAAAACTGTCGTTCGTATTCAAATAATTTAATATATAAATTTTTTAAATGACAAAAACTGGGGGAAAATGGATGCTGGTCCACTACCATGAAGGACACCATGAAAGAAGGGAAAAGCCCATATAAAGCCAAATGAGTTTCCATCCCAAAACCAATTGGTGGAAGGAGGAGTAGCCCATTAGTCTTATAAGGTGGGTCTATTTTTCATGTATGAACGATGTGGGATAACTCACAAGTGATATTCTAACATTAAATATGTTCGATTATTAAACGAGCCTAATTTTCTAATCGAACTCGACTCAATTAACAAACGAACGAATTTTTGTCGAACACAAACGAGCTTTTGTTCGCGAATATTCGGTTCGTTTACAGTTCTACCTCAATTTACCTATACACATCACTATTCAACTAGTTCGAATGTAACCACTTATACAGCATATCACTACTGTAGAATTTATTAAATTAAATACATTTGATGGAATCCCAATACAAAAATGGGAAAATCTAAAAGTAGTTCCTACACTGTTCCAAAAAATGTTACAATGAAATGCAGTTGATCAATATCAGCTTTTAAAATTGATCAAAATAAGAATATTTTTTGGAGAAATTCTACGGTCTCGTTACGGAATTATTTCGTCGGGATTTGTAATCGTTAGATCATCTATTCACGACTGTTATATGATGATCTAACAACTACAAATCTCGACGGAATGGTTCCGTAATGAGACTTTAACATTTCCAATTTCTTTGATGGAATGTTGACACATTACATCCACGTGTCTTGTTCTTTTTTTATAGAATTTCAAAATAGTATCGTAACTCTATAAATATTTTAAAAGTAGTTGTGAAATCAAACTAATCAATAGTAATCCTATAAATTTTAAAATTTATCAATTTTAAAACAATATTGACCAACAATTATTTTTTGGCTAGAAAAGGTGACATGTTACTCGAAAATTAATCACTTAAATTTATTGGTTCGGCTGATCCAGTATAACCAACGTCCATGCATACTATTATACTAAAATGTTGTAAAATATTAGTTTTTTTCGTATCACAGAAAATAATGAATTGCTAATTATTAGATTTGCAAAGTTTAAGAAATACGAAATATTATTGGTTTGACTATTGACTTTTGTAGTATGAAATTGTGTGTATTGGCGTGCTGGGAAGAAAAAAAAAAAAGTTATATGATGGGGACCGGAGTTCCGTAGACTTTTAATAATTAATTATTATTATAAATTCTTTGAATTGGTAAAATTGCCATCACTTATGTCTCCTCTTTTTCTTCTGGAAAATTGAGGATCAATAAAATCATAAGTTTTTTTTTCTTCCAAATAAAATATTAGTCGTTCATATAGCATCCTATATATATTTAATTATTTATTATCTCTGAAGCGAAACCAATAATCTTAATTAACTTAATTTATTCAGCACATCACAACAGTAACTCAAGAATGGAAAAAACACACAAACTGGGAAAAAAAGTTCAATCATCACAACACCTATACATAAAGTACTTCTCCATCTGCCGGTGGCACTCGGAGCACACCACCGTCTCCGGCAAATCCTCGACTCCGGGCAGAATCAGCCGATTACAATGCTCCTCGGGCGTTTGGTGGCCGTCCAAATACTCCTTGAGCCCCCGAACAAATCCCTTGGCCTTAGCCTCCTCTGCCCAACTCCCGAAATCGGTCAACGCCTTGACCATCACGTCCCCTTTCCCCCGAGCCATCTCTCCCGACCCCCGGCTGAAAATCGCCCATCCTTGACCATCGTTGCCTGCAAACGACAGCAAAGTCAACGCCTCTCTCAGAATCCGATCGGTCTCGATTTTCGCGCCGTGCCGAATCTTTGACCGCATCATGCTCTCGACTCGCGTCCAGAAGTACCACACGGACGTTGGGTCCGTCCAGCTGTGACTGAGCCCGTTCGAGCCCACCATCTCGTTTGTTTTTCTCCTGCCCGGGTTATTGCCTATGTACACCATCTCCACCCCTGTTTCGCCACACGTGCTTCGTGCTGCGCCTACGAATTCACGAACCCACTCCTCATTTTCCCCTCCGAACAAACAAATCACCTTATCCTCCTTGATCTGATGATATGATCAAAACAAATTTGATCAATTTTAATAATAAGTTAGCTGAGGATAGCTCATAAGCTAACTTATAGCTTATAAGTGATTTTCGATCTTATAGTTTATATAGCTGAAAAGTTAACTTATATGATAAACGTGTTTGGTGAAATTAGCTAATAAGCTAGCTGAAATGAAAATTTGAGTGAGTTTATTTGAAAAGCCACTCAAAACTTATGAAATTGGAACAAGTACTCCTAAAAAAAAGTGTGTGCATTTGGCATTGTGTTATGTTTTACCCAAGTCAGTATGGATTTATCGATGCCGTTTACAATCAACTCGAGTCTCCACGTCTCATTTCTCCACAAGGCCGATTCTTTTTGTGTGGAGAAAGGATACGCTAAGTTGCCCCATATCCTCACCATGTGTAAAGCATTCGGGCTGCTCACCTTGCCTTGTGGGTCTAAAGTTACCAGCATTGGTGTCTTACTGTAGTGCCAAATTTCGTTGATGTACCGTATAACAGCCCGTTGTAGAAAGCTCGGGTGGTTCAACGTGTACCATGGCATCATCAATTGTAACTGCTCAAACTTCTGTTGATGATGATCTTCGTCCCATGTCGATGTCGTGATCGGAAGCCAAACGATTTCGTATTGAAACTGTGCTCTGCTTCGTGATTCTTTGTAAATGTGGCTAAGTATGAGAAGCTCATAAGGGGAGATATTTTCTAGGTCTGATATGAGCAGCAAGACTGTTTTTCCTATTAGAGCCTCAACTCCAACCTGTTTTAATTAAATACCAAGCTGTATTGTATTACATGATCTGAATTTGGACTAATTCGGCTAATCGTGAAAAAAAAAGTTACCTTTAAGTTTTTGTTGGTGCCGATTTCAAGTGGGAGTAGATCATCTTTTAGATAGATCAAGTGTTTCAGTATTCTCTGGTTGTCCACGTGTGGTGTTGTGTTGAACAAGCGCACGAGTGTTTGAAAATATTCCGCATTTTTCTTCTCATCTGCGCAGGATTAACATTTTCAAGCTCTTTAGATTAGATCACATAAAACTCAAGTTACATAATCAGCAGTAGAGTTGATTTTTTGCTTACCTACATATTGATGACAGAGAACAAGTTGTGTCTTGAGGTGTTCGAGAATGCTAGACAACTTATGTACCATGCTCGAAAGCTCCCATGTCTCGGCAGTTAAAGACATCACTCTGGAATTTTTAACCCGAACGAAGAAAAAGGGAAAAATTTAAAATTTTTCAAACTGAATTTTAGGGGGAAAAA